TATTTTCAAGTTACTTGTAAATAACGTAAATGTAATATTAAATGCATTATGTGCTTTTTTATTTTATATAGTCTACAACATAATAAAAATATGGTGTTGAATGTGTAGAATTAGATTGTTGAATGAATTGTATAATTTTATATTAAAAGACTACAGAAAAAAAACAACGAAATGTATCGCATTGTTATTTTAACAATAAATTTGGTAAAATTAAGTACGTAAAAATTTTATCTTTCATATTATTTAATAACTTTTTTGCAAATCAATTACTGAATAAAAGGGAATATAAAATCGTCTAGTGCCTTAATACAAATGCCACTGAAGCACTTACGCAACTAAATTTATAATTATTGTAATATGATTTTTTAAAAACAATAATAAAATAAGAAATAAATCGTTAATATAAAATATCTAATAATTAATTTCAACTTAAGCATATATGAAATACAGAATATTTAGTACATAACTTTTTTTTTTTTTATAATAGTTAAAACTTTTTAAAGAAATCTTATAGAGAAATGACAAAAAATAGGCTGGTGCGATGTTACCTCAATTTTTCTTCTTGTAAACTCACTGATGCAGTTTAATAACTCTTAATTTCTTCTTTGTTCTTTTTTGACTCAATTTTCACATTCTTCTGGTTCTGGACGTAGCTCGTCAAGATTACTATAACCGCTTCTTTTCTTTTTAAATTAATCTGCCGTGTCTTGAATAATTTTGGTATTTGGTCATGATATAAAAAATCCACTATTTGTTTTCCTCCTTCCTCGTTACTCGTCTTCATTGTACTATATATTATATATTTTAAATTTTCAGTCACTTTCAATAAAATAATTATTGTGGCCTCTTCTTGTATTCATATTTGTTTATTTTTCGTCACATCCGGTATTGCGTCCATTCCGTTTTAATATATATTTTTTTTTTAAATTGTCAATCTTCTTAAAATGTCCATTATTTAATTAACTTTTCTTATAATATTTTTCTTCTTTTAAATAGTAGGCCCGGCGGTGCGCGGGCATTGCCGCTGCGCACATCCTGGCAGGGTCGCCATGTAAGGACGAGGGAAATGAAACACTTGAGTGTTGACGTAAGACTGTCTGTAATTACGTATTGTTAACTTTATATATGAGATTATACCCAGACATACGTATAGATACTAGGTAGGTAGGTACTACAATATGTAAATTAGAATAAAAAAACAATATGTTATATTAATATGTTATTTATCTTAAAACACATACCTTAAAAAGGTAAAAACAACTGCACATTTTTTATAATTATAATAATAAGAAAAAATGGGGTAAAATATTTTACTATGCCTAGCAACATTTTCATTATATTGGCGTCTGTCAAATTTATTATTTATTATTTTGTTGTGATGAATGTTTTTTACAAAAATACAAGATGCTAGGCAGTACTGAACCGTGAAATGAGATTTTTATATTTTTTCGTGATTATGTGATGAGTTGTGACACCCTTTCACAGTACAGTAAGTCATTTTTTGAAAAATTGTGCGAGCTGGTTACACGACTACGTGGACTCGAGTACTAACGCGCGAAAAGTTGTACTTAGCCTTTAAAGGCTAACTTGAAATGTTTTTTTTTGCGTGCGTCTACTGCGGTTCTAAGCCTAATACTTCTATGGTTTTAGGTATGAATTTAAGTGCTGTGAATATAAATAAACCCATAACGGGGGAAATGCAACAATATCTGGTAACCCAGGGAAAGAACCTCCCGCCTATCTCTATCTCAAAAGCATACGCGAATGCTTTATCTAGTCAATCCTCTATCTACGGGTGACCAGAATACATAAATTAAAAATACATGGACTTACAGTCTTTGCGTTATAGCATGGTGCGGATGACAGCTTACAGTTTAGCGCACAAATTATAAAGTTGTATGGTTTAGCGTTTAGCGTGTCTAGAAATGGAACAAAGTTAATTCGATTTGAAAAGGCGATTAACGATACACAAAGCAAAGCAAAAATTATTGATTTGCTATCGATATATAAATTATAACCGAAATATATATTTCTTTATAAATAAATTACAAAGCATATAAATTTTAGTTACAGTTTAATACAAATTATGAATTATGAATTAAATAAAAGTGATCTTTTATTTTATGTTAGTTGCAATATTTTTCTTAACATTAAAAGAAATAAAATAACTGCCTGCGGCTTTTCAAGATACGAGTGCTGGCGCCTTTCGCTATAAATGTGTATAAGTGTTGCCAGGTCCAGTAGATCAAATATCGGGATGGAAGGTAAAAATGATCGAGAATTTGGTTTACAAATCTAATAAAATAAACAATTCATAAATAGGTTTTTATAGCCATTTTGGCCGCCATGAGTTATACTACAGTATTTTCGACACAATGCGCAATGTAATGATTTCTTATATTTATTTAAAAATACGCAATGTGCTTTATAATTATTTTTTGGGACTGAGCTAATGAACGAGTAATTTATCGTCCAAACATCGTGAAAACTGCATAGTCGTGCATGTGTGTTTTTCTTTATTAGCAAATCAGAACTTATTGCACGATTAGGTATCGTTGCAGATTGAATTATCTGAATGACTCATTATAATCGTATTCTGTAAAAAGCAATAAATCTTATGATCACAGAATGCATGCATTGCAGAAAACCCTTAGAAACGGCATCATAATATATAACGTCAGACACACAGATGAAATTCTTGTATCGCACGCATAATGTCACTTTATTTAATGAAAACAACAATACCTACAACCGCTTGAAGAAATTGACTAGTGGAAGAACTGACCTAGAAGACCTTTGCATTTTACTAAATGTACTTATCTAAACAGCAGCATGTAAGTTAGGTATTGTCTTAATTACTACTAGAAGAATTAAATAATAAATAATGGTCGAAATGACCATGTCGATGCATAGCGTGACTGGGCGGACGGTATCACTTGGTGAGAGAAAATACGAAACAGCATGAATAATATTTGTATCTCGCTAACACAATACGCGTAAAATTTAAAACTTTGATGTTATCTATTTAGTCCAAGTTGAGAAAAGATGAAATGTCAAAGTTAAAATATTTAAATGTACAGTAACAGCTTACAGATGTATACATTTTGCTGTCATAACTATCGAGACGTAAAAAATTGGGACTTTTGGCCTCCCGATTAAAGGTGAATTGGGACGTATCACCAAACCTATGCTAGTATAATCTATGCTAGCGATTAGCGCTTTGTATGAAGTACCTACCTATCGGTCGTTTTGTGATTTCTAGTTGAGTTTATATTGCTTTTAGTTTCTGTTCAGTACGAACTAAACATATAATATAATCTGATAATTTATTGCTGTATTAATATTTTGTATGGCAACATTAAAGTGTAACTTTTGTATTGATTTACTCTGGCAAATTTTTCCTTCTTCTGTCAACGTCAACCTAGCCAGCGTGTGGTTGTTTCTCTCCATTATGGAGTGTAGAGTACAAGGAGAGTGTTACTATATAGTTTGTGAAGGAGAACCATCTTATAAGGGGCGAAAGTTGAAAAAGTGTCCTACTATTTACTGAAAATAGAGGTTCCAAAACCTACCACAATAGCGCTGGCATCTGAAAAACTACGATATAAAGATAGCTGTTGAAAAAGGAGTGAAGACAGCTGAATTCAAATATTTAAAAAATTTCATGATTAGAGTAGTTAGTAAAATGCCAGTATACAAAATCTCAACTATTTACGTAGTACAAAACCAAGCGGATTGGTCGGTCCTTGTTTATTTCTCCATCTTATTCTAATTACTTTTGGCGCTTTTTTTTAAATTTATTTATGCTACTGCAGCGCCACCCTTATTGGACACGTTTTTAGGGACACTTTTCATATATAGAGATGGTCCTCCTTCTCTCTAGACTCCATACTCTCCACTAAATTAAGTGAACCATCGAGAAATAAGCATTTTGCAAATGTTTTGGCTGCTGTACACGTTCGTCGAGACACAACGAGACAGGCCGCGTACGAGTGTGTACATGGTGCCCTCACCGCATCGCGTTGCGTCTCGCGGCCCTCGTTTGCTCTCGGAAACGTGTCGGTATTTTGCGTTCGAGTCGAAGGGTCTCGTGAAGAAAACGAGAGCGCGCCTGTAGACATGAACTGTAAGGTTCAATATTGTTAAATAAATAATAATATAGGTAGTTATATTATGGTTCTGTTACGGTGAATAGAAACCATCCACTATCTTTTTCTTCGTCATGGCTTATAAATTTTCTTCTAATGATAAATGTGTAAGAGCTTGTGACGGGTAACAGTGTCACATTGACATTTTTTATCTTATTCTAACAAAGCTAACTGTCACATGTATGAATAAAGAAAAATTTGTTACAGTCTTTTAGTGGATTTGTTATCTCGTGGAACAGGAGCTATTCTTTCAGTGTGTTTGTCACAGTTACATTCTGCTATTTTAAGATACCTGTTTTTTTTTAATCTGTTAAGATAAATACGATTCGCTCCTATAGGAGTTTTGGCGGGAATTTGACCAGCGACGGATTGCTGCTTCTGTATTATTGTTTAAATAATGGTTTGAAGTGGATTTTGATATGTAAAAGTGGTGCGATTTTGTATATTAAATCTCTGCGCATGTGAACTATTAGTGGAAACGGTCAAACAAGTGCTCTGATGGTGCTGTGATTCTCAAGATATGGTGTCTGTCTGTTTAGGCGCCTTGAGATACCATCGCCAACTGTCAGCTGTCTGCTGGTTCAAGATTCAAGTTGCTGCACAATGTGACTGATCAACATTTAATGTGAAGCAGTGTAACTATGAAGAATAACTATACATTGTAACTTCAGGTTCAGAAGGGCTAGAGCCCAGAGCCGTAAAGCAAGTTGTTAAAAAAATCACTTCTACAATGAATTGAAGTAATTTTTTTTATTAGGTATTTTAAAAATAAGTTCCTTTCATTTGCTAATTCACATAGTAATAGTACTTTTAACTAAGTTTGAGATCTTATAAATGTGATTTTCTGGCATAATGACAAGCAGAGCTAATTTAAAAAACTCTCGAATGAATTTTAAGTTTCAAAATGAATCTTATCACGATTATAAAGGAACTAAGCCCATCCGTGAGGCGTCGTCTATTTTAGAAATATTGAGCTTGATGATAGTGCACATTTGCAAGAAGCTGCTATTTTATGACACTAATTTAAAAATAGCTATATATTTAGGTGCTCTTTTTTTATTATCGCTGATAGCAGACGTATTTACCTTTCCTAAAACTTATTTCTCAAGAAGTGACAATGTCTTCAACCAATATTTTGTGAAGATTGGCTGGTTTTGGACATTATTTCTTACAGTGCCGTATGTTTTATTGACCTCCTTTACAATTTGTTGCGGCAATCGAAAACTTATTATCTCAGCTCATCTGTCAAGATTGGTTATTGCTACATTTTGTTGGTATATATGGACAACGATTTTTAATATTATTGAAACCAAATATGGTCGTTGTAATTCAAGATCCTTTGACAATAAAATATCATGTTTAAAAAACGGTCATTTCTGGAATGGGTTTGATATATCTGGACATTGTTTTATTCTCATTTATTCAAGTTTGGTAATGATAGAAGAAGCTCGGGCTATAAATGGATGGGAAAAAATTAAAGACTATATAAGAGATGAAAACTATACAAGAAGCCTTAATGATAAATCAGTGAGCATTAATCCACTAAAAAATATCAATGCAGAAGAGTTAACCATCTTAAAAACATCTTATGAGAATGTTACACCATATGTAAGAGTGTTGTTAATTGCTATAGCTGCCCTTCAACTGTTATGGGATGTTATGCTAGTCTCTACAATATTATACTATCATATAATGATAGAAAAATTTATCAGTGGGGTTATAGCTATATTGACATGGTTTGTTACATATAGGGTATGGTACACTATGCCAAATCTCTTACCGAACATACCAGGGCAAGGCATATTTAAATATAACAATGGAAAGCCAGCAACAGCAACCAATATTAAAAAAAAGCCTAATTCTCCAAATGGAAAACATTTTATGGGAATGCCGATTCATACAACAGTTGACAATGTGGAAGCTTCCACTGAAGAAGTTAGATAAAGTTTTTTGTTTTTATTTTAGTTTACTGTTTATTTATTTTTAATTGTTTATTGAAAAATAATCAGGTTCTGAATCAACAAATATTGAATTTTAAATTGTAAATAGTATAAGTTATAGAAATGTTGAAATTTTTATAACTATTACTATTTTTCAGGGAAGTTAAAGTGGTTAATGTGATGTTAAGGAAAATATTGATTACAATGTAATGTATATATATTATAAGGGGTGCTGTAATTAAGGTTTTTGTGTTAACTGTTATTTTAAAAAGAAAAATGAATATTTTCATCAGTATCTGTTATTTAAAGTACTGTTTTCAAACATCATTTAATTCTAATTGTAGGGGAAGGTGCTTCAAGAATAAATTTTTACTGATCTACCTGTTTTTAATTGCAAACAGTATTTTGTAAACACCAATAACACATTTTATGATGTTTGGTGATAATATTTTATTAATTTTTTAAATGAAGTATAGTCTCTCATATGTTATTTCTATTACACATTCACCACTGTCACAAATTTTGTGTGTAAACCACGGATGCTGCCTATATTTTCTATGGACTTGCTAGGCGGGTAGCCGGCACAGCTTACGAGATAAGGTGAACTCACCAGACAGGTATGGTGGCTTTGCATACAGTCGAACACATAAATTAGTAATTTAAGCTCAAGTTTTGTTTTATAAGCTTGCTCTTTATTCACTCTAGTTTATAAGTGTATTTAAAGATATTTTTACGTGTTTTTGAGTGTGATCATGGATTAAATCAAGTAAAAGGTAAGATAATAATGTAATTTAATCAGAAATCTCCAACCTTTAACTATTAGTAATTTATATGATTAGACCTAAGAAGTGAATATTTTATTTATTGAATTTTTACTGTCCAAGAACAGCAAATAGTGGACTTGGTGCTAAAAAGCATTTTCTACCAGTCATCCGGAACAAATATGAGAGAATATATATCTTATATTCACATTATTACTAGGGAGGGTATTTAAATAGTTTTTTCATCTAGCTGGGCTGCACACTCGAAATGGTAAATATACATAAATATTAATAACTAGCTGTGCCCGCGGCGTAGCTCGCGGATAAAGGTTTTACTTAAAGAATTTGACGTTTAGGTAAGAGAATATTAAACGATTTATATCATTACTGTATGAATAAGTGGTAACAAAATAAATCGTTATGCTCCAAAGTTCTGAGTCGTTTGTGATAGAACTTCAGTGTAAACGACATTAGAAGTAGACAGCCGGGGCGTTCAGAAAAATGTTACGGGAGCTACTAACGCGGGAAAAAGCAATACACGAGTTGGCCATGTGCAAAACAGTCAGTACTGAGGTCCACTCCAGCAAAGCGTAAAGTTTGACCTTGCTCTTTATTTACGGTCATCGGTCATCGCATAACACGCTGATTGGGAAGTGGGAACAGAACACGCTTAAAACTGAGAGGAAAGTTATTTGATATAAGATGGATTCTTGGTATAAAACAACATCATGACATTTTGTTTTTGTTGCAATTTTGCTACATTTAGCTTGGGCGTACGTATCTATTTTTTTGGTTTCTGTTTCTGATGATGTTTGTGCTATTAGCCTACACCCTACACGGCTCTTTTAGCTTATATGGACTCGTTAACGTAAATTACCTCAGTGAATCTCAATATGATTCACCGATGAAAAATATTAACACCGCAATTCAGAAAAAGTTGTAATTTGTACAACGCTAGATGGCGTTACGTTCTTTGTGAGAAAACATCGGCTAGCTTTCCATTGACTCCCGTCGAGTTGGGGGTTGATACGTATTTTTACAGAAAAGTTACACTACTATAAGCACACACACAAAGTTACAACATGCGAAACGCGTAATTTTTGAGAAAAAAGTTATTGAAAATCAATTATTCTTGCATTGTTTATATCTGATCCTACCATAAAACTGACGCCATTTTGTAATGTCATTGTCGTCAGTAGGGATGTCGATTCTTTCCGAAAAGGGTCGATTTTCAAATCGTAAGCTGATGTATCGATTCATAAAAAATCGATTTCTAAAATATCTACCTAGAGTCATAAATTCTGTCACATGTTTAATATAAAATAATTGAAACAAGTTTATTCATTATGTAACCATTTATGTACCAAAATGAACTCAACAAAACATAGATTCTTATGACACTAAAGTTTATTCAAAATGACCTCCGTGATTTTGAATACAGGCCTCCAATCTGCGCGGCCAGTCGTCTTTCGCAGCACGAACGAGGTCCATGTCAATATCGGCGGCTGCCTTAATCAAGGATGTAATACCCAGTGCCTGTTATTGAACATGGTATGAGAAACAGGTTCTAGAAGGTTCGTCAGGACTGTATTTTGATACACAACTGCATTCGTTTTACACCTTTCTCACAAAAATGTACCTCTGTTAAGCCCTAATAAGAAACTCCCAACCATACCATGAGCGAGGATGGAAAATGACCTCGTTGGACACGCGGAATACGGATGCTCGTTTCTTCACTACTGTGTGCGTACACATTTTGTTTGTTGTAGCTCTTTTCTACGGTAAAAATTTTTTCATCCGAAAAAAGAATTTCCCGATATTTTTTCCGTGTACCGCTTCAACAAAGCGCGGCATCTCTTCAGTCTCAGGTCCATTAGACGAGCATTCAAACGATGTCCTGTTTTTCTTCGATATGCCCGAAGCCCTAAGTCTTCATTTAACACCCTTTTCACCGTGGTTCTGCTTAACCCCATCTGAAGGGCCAACAGTTTCTGCTTACGTTTGGGATTTCTTTGAATTCGCGCCTTCACAGTTTTTATCACTGCTGGAGTCCTAACAGACCGAGGGCGACCACTTCTTGACCTGTCATCTACACTAGAGTCTTCATTGTATCGTTTGATGGTACGATAAACGAATCTTTTGGTTATATTCAAATTTTTCAGTATGTCAAAAATTTGAATTGGCGCGTAACCGCAACGATGCAACGCAATAACTGCAACACGGTCTTCTTTAAGCGTCCACTCCATATTTAAAAATGAGTAAAATTCTAAAAAGTATACAGTTTTATTTTCATGAACAATTCGAAATTCGAATTCAATAAACATTTTTGTGGCCAGCATTCTAAAAGAAAAGTTTTTACTGTGTGATAATACTTATGACCTGACTAGGTATATTTTTTTATGTTTGCATTTATAATGTAAATATAATTCCATTTTATGAAAAACAAGAAAGATACCATAATAAATGATCTCTTATTGAATTTTGTTTTATTTTAACAGTACCAATTAGGGCAGATAACAAATAAAATAGGTTAGGTTCAACTTATGTCAAAGAACCGAATTGATTGACCCCGACTCCACCTGGTACGAGTCTGTCCTACCCCTAGAGTGGTTTTAAAGCGCCGGAGACGTAGCAGTCTCAAAATAGATACAGAAATCCTTCTGAATCAGTCCCCCTATATTTTATGATGAAGGGGATTTTTTTTTCATATAATGGATTTATATTTACATCATAATTGCCGTGTAGTGGCGGTCAAGAATACCACTACCCCATATCCTCCCGTGGGTGTCGTAAAAGGCGACAAAGGGAAACAGGCAGGAGATGGGCAGCAGCATCTTCCTGATAATAGCCAAAATTACAATAAAAAAACTGCGGTTGCCAACCCGCTCGCCAAGCGTAGCAACTATGGCAAATACCCCCCTATGAATGTAACAAAGAGACGGCCCCCAGTCCCCGGCGGCCCCGCTATTCCTGGCTACGGTGGCGACCATGGTAACGGCGGGGCAGGGGGTGCTAAGAATCTCCGGTGGAGGTTCGGTTGCCACCTTAGACGACTCGACCTGGCGACGTACAACGCACGCACCCTGAGGACTGACGAGAAGATCGTGGAGCTGGAAGAAGAGATAGACAAGTTGCGCTGGCATATTATAGGATTATCCGAAGTCCGAAGAGAGGGGGAGGACACGGTAATCCTCGAATCCGGCAACTTGCTCTATCACCGGGAGGGCGACCATCTGTCCCAAGGAGGTGTCGGATTTGTCGTCCACAAGTCTCTCGTTAACAACGTTGTAAAGATCGGGAGTGTGTCGACGAGGGTTGCGTACCTTATACTCAGAATCACCAAACGGTATTCGCTGAAGGTCATACAGGTTTACGCACCAACCTCGGCACACCCCGATGGGGAGGTGGAGGAAATGTATGAGGATATCTCTAGAGCCATGCATTCCTCCAAAACTCAATATACGGTGTTAATGGGAGACTTCAATGCAAAACTAGGCACAAGAGAGAACGGTGAGCTGAAAGTAGGGAAATTTGGAATAGGGCAACGGAACCCAAGGGGCCAGCAGTTGGCCGACTTCATGGAGAAAGAGGGACTCTTTATGATGAACTCTTTCTTCCAGAAGCGGCCCCACAAGAAGTGGACCTGGTCGAGCCCCGACGGTTCGACAAAAAATGAGATTGACTTCATTATGACGACCAGACGACAACTGATCAATGATGTCTCCGTGATCGCGAGGGTGAAAACTGGTAGCGATCACCGAATGGTTAGAGGCACACTGAACCTAAACGTTAAGTTGGAGAGGTCTCGTCTAATGAAGTCAACGCTCCGTCCCCCTCGTGCTCTGTTCCAAAGTCCCGAAACCTTTCAGCTCGAGTTACAAAACCGTTTTCAGTGCCTAGAAGACTGCAATGAAGTGGACGATATGAATGACAAGCTCGTGGAAACTGTCCATGCGGTCGGAGCTAAGTTCTGCAAGACCCGCCGCAGAAGAACACAAAAACTCTCCGATCACACTCTTAATCTCATGGCTATTAGACGGGAGATGAAGCTACATTCTTCAACAGACTTGACAGCATATAGGCATCTGAACAGACAGATCTCCAAATGCATGCGGCGGGACTTACGCAACTTCAATACAGCTCGTATTGAAGAAGCGATCGAGCGGAACCAAGGCTCGAAAGTCTCTGCCAGAAAGAGCCACCTGTCAAAGCTAAAGACAGAATGTGGCAGCATCGTTTCCGG